CGGCTGGCAATGCCTCCGGACCGCTCTCCTACACTTCGCTGTTGTTTCAACAGCAGCAGCAGCAACAAGCACAACAGCAACAACAGCAGCATCAACAGTCGCAAGCGTCAGCTCATATGTACAGCTCAATGCCGGTGCAGCATATGATGTCCGTCGGCGACATGTCGCTACAGCACCACCACCTGCAGCAGCAACAGCAACAACACGCGCAACATCAGCGACGTGGCGGCAGCGTGGGAGGTGGCTTCAGCGGCAGCAACAGCAGTTTGATAGGTGTCGGTGGCGGTAGTAGCGGTGGACTGATGGGCGGCAGCAGCCTCATGAGCGCCAGCATGTCAGGCAGTGCCGGTGGTGGCTTGAGCAACGTCGGCGGTAACCTTGGCGCTGGCGGCGGCAGCAGTGGTGGTGGTGTCAGTGGCACTAGCGGCGCCGGCGGTGCTGATGCCTCGTCGCCTATGGTAGGCGTTTGTGTTCAGCAGAGTCCTGTAGTAATTCATTAGTTAGTTGATAATGATGATACATACAAACATACTATGTATATGTATGTACATAGGCACACATACTATGTGTACGAACATATGAATATTATAAATATATTTGTATTTAGTTTTAAAAATGCGTTAAACAATAGCGAAATATGCACAAGCATCATACCAGGCACACAACGCATTTACCTGAAACGCAAATGTAAACAATTGTCAAAATTCCATATAAAAAGTGTGGGCTAGGCAGTTCGTGGCGCCAGTGTTGGTGGATACTGGTGTTTTATTTCAAATAGAAATGGATAAATGAAAAAATGTTAAAAAATTTGAAATTGATATACAATCCACATACGTTCCACAAAACATAAATGCAGTTTCATGGTATTAATAGTTGAATGAGCACAAATCACTATTTTCAACTCACAAAAATTGGCATCCACATATGTTCCACACAAAATCCCAAGCTTTTGCAAGTACTACAGACAATTTTATTTTTACCTACAACAATTGGCGTACATATATTTTGCTCAGCGAATTTTATAACAGTTAATTGCTTAAAAACATTAGTGAGCACACAGTTATTTCGCGTGAATCACAAATGGTCCAGCAGTTTTGGTAAAATTTCTATAAAAAAGGTATGAATTTTCTCTTCTTCTTTTGTTAAATCAATGTAGTTACTAAGCAAATTTAGAAAGCACATACATACATAATTGGAAGTTGTGGACAGTAAAACAAAATACGGTATACATTAAATACAAAACTCGCAAAAAATGCGGTCTTCATTAGATAAAATATTTGCAAGCAATTCTAAAATTCCCGAAAATTGCCAAAAACCAACATATATAATACGTAATTTAGTGAAATTTAAATTATGTTCCACTTATTTTTGAACGGAATTAAAAAAGTTTGAAACTTTAAAATTAGTTTTTGAATAGCGTTTTGATGTTTACAATATAACTGAGCGTAGTTTGTGTTACGATCCACAGGCGTTCCACACGAAAGGTTCACGCTACTTGGAAAAACTTTGTATTTAAAACTTTACCACTATATTGCATACACATCATATGCAATCCACACAAAAAGTGCGTTGAAACTGTTGTTTTACAGTCCACAACCATTTAATAGGAACCTCACACACGTATATTTTTGTATCTGAGTTTACAATTTTGACACCTTGCGCAAAATCAGAAATCAAGTTGGAACATATTTTGAAGTATCCCATTAATTTGATCTACATACATACATACATACAAACATATATAAAAAATGTTCTTTGGTGCACGTATGGAATTGTGCTAATAACTGCCGGCAGCAAAATTTTTTTACAGATTGTGGAACAGATTTGATTTCGTTCAATGCGTTCCAATTTCTCTACCTTTAACTAGTTGTAATATAAAACTATAATAATACAGTTATTTTGTTGCCTGCCTGCCTTCGATGGTTATATAACGTAAAACAGCACGTATACGATTTTTCGTAACGTCAAACTTAATTTGTTGTCAAAAAAAAAAAAAAAAAAAAACAGCACGTATACGATTTTTCGTAACGTCAAACTTAATTTGTTGTCAAAAAAAAAAACACAGATTAACTAAATAATATATAGTTATAGTTCTATTTAGAATATTTGTATTTCTTATTATTATTATTTTGTTTTTGCGCTGTAAAATTGTAAATGCAACCACGTACGTCCTACTTTACCATTTTTTTCTTGTTTCATATTTTTGCTCAGCCACTGGACACTACCTTACTTTGTATTTTAGTGTAGTCACTTATATACATACTTGCATATGCATATAAATCTTATTTTTCTCGCAATTTATTAATAAATAAATTATTAGTTTAAGACCGTCTAGGAAAAATGCCCGCGTGGCATAACAATAACAGCAGAAAGCAAAGTTTAAGAAATATATAAAAAAAAAAATACACACAAAAAAAAAAACAACCTACATTTACGTGCGCAAAAATCTCTACATACATAAATACTAATTATTTAATTACATTGCCTATATTACACATATAGATATATACATACATATATTTCATAAGAAATATACAAATATGATATATGATAAGTCAAAAAGATATTAATCTCCATTGCAGTTTTATTTTCCACTACAAAGCAGTGGATACCGTTGTTTTACGGTAAACAAAAACTTTTCAGGCGTAGTAAAAGAAAATACAAATCGAAATAGATTTACGACAAACGCAGCAACGCAATTTATTTACTATTTTTTTCATATATTTCACGTTATTGTAAAAGACAATGCTGCCCAATATACAAGTATATATACAAATTACTTTGGAGCATTGCCGCTAACTGTCAGTTACCACAAAAAAAAATTGAGTTGTTTTATACTTTAAAAACTACATTTGCAAACTACAGTTTTAACACACAAACACTTGAAAGCATTGCCAGCTGATTTTAAGATAATTTCCATTTCGTTTAGAACATGACTTGCGCGCGGTAATGTTTTTGGAATTTGTTCGCCCTGCAGCCAAGCTTCATTTGCCATTTTGCTTGTACGCGCTTCATGACGTGTAAGTCACGCGCCTTACGCGCAGCCGCTTGCTGTTGCATGTTACTCCAGCCCAAGGCGCGATATTCGCTGAGTACTTTATGCAGGCGACGGTCCGATTTTTTCGGCACAAGCTCGCGATTTGGACGGAGTCGCTGTTTGTAGTAGCGCAGCAGTGAACGATGTCCGATGACAGCGCCAGAAGGTAAAACCAATTGATATTCATCGCCATCAAGCAGATCGGGCACCATTTCCTCATCGACATCCATGCCTTCTTGCTGTTGTGTTATATTGCATATTAATTTTTATATACATTGTTTGAAATTTATGTATACTTACGTGATCTGGATAACTGGAGCTGTAATCGTAGTAATCTGCATATTCGGCTAATGCTACACCCTCGTGCAACATTTGACAGTGTCCTTTGTCTAACATGTGTTTGCGTACCGCATCTAACGTATAGAATGTTTTACCGCGATCATTACACCAGAGACATATGAAGTAATTTGCGACTTTTTCGCCTAAATAGTATAGCAGTCCCTCTAAATCTGTGCAGTATTCTGCGTCGGGAATGAAGAATGAGTGCGCAACCGACATGTGTTTTAAATTCTCAACCATATCCTCGCTGACATGTGTGCAGAAGAGACAGTCCTTTTCGCTTAGTGGATTTTCAGGCAGTTTCTCCCATTCATCTGAATCAATTTGTCCAGTCTATATACAAATAGTAATAGTAAATAATAAATACACATATGGACGTATTGTATTATTCTAGTTAATACCTCCTCCTCTTCCACAATCTCATATTCTCCGTCATCCTCATCATCCACATCTTCATATTCATCCTCTTCGTCTTCTTTCTGTTGTTGTTTCTGTAGTGCAAATCTTCCCTTGCCTTGTGCAGCTGCAACTAACGCTGGATGTGGTTTCTGTGGCACTACACTCTTTTTCGTAATCTCTGTGTTTTCGCCTTTATGTTCTTTTTCGAAACGCAATAGATTTTCTTTGTGTTTTTTGCTGTTTAGGTGATTATCATGGGCTTTCTGATTGCCAAATTGTTTGCGACAAGCATTGCAGTAGAAGCTCATTTGACTTTCTTCCTCCTCGGTAGCTTTTTCTTGTCGCATACGCAGCACACGTTCTTGGAATTGTTCGGCAGTTACTGCTGGAAGTTCAGCAACACGACGTTTTAGATTAAACCGATGCCAATCTGTTTTGTAATGATCTCGCTGTATATCCGCCGAGGCAAATTTTACACAGCAATTTATACATGTAAACGCCGACATATTGTTTCTGATATAATCTTACAATTATCCAATTCCTTACTAATTAAAATTTGGCTTCAAATTAGTAATAAATAAAATTTCACAACTATTGTCAATGGAAAAACGCACGAGAAAAGTAAAAAGTAAAACAAAGACACGTTCTGCGAAACAATGACAGTTATTTCGCGTTGCCACATACATAGACTGAAATTTTGATTATAATCTAAGTGCTTGAATAATCAATTTTTGTTAACACAAAAAATTTTTTGGTTTACAAAACATTTTATGTAAAAACAGATAATTTAAATTAATAAAACCAAAGATAAAAAATATATTTAAAAAAGGCTGCAAAGCAAATTAGAGAAATTGCGCAGTAATTAATATGGCAACTAAAGCGCTAATGGCGGTAATTTTGACGTTAGTTAACTGTGATTTACTTTAAAGGCAAAACTATTTCTTTGATCAAAAAATCAAAATTAAGCGTTTAATGATCTGAATAAACATTTTTTATAATTGAAAGATGATAAACTCAAAATTCGTAAAAAGAAAACAAGTATGTTTATGTGTATAGTTGTATAAGTGATAAGTGCAAGCAAGTTCCTTTTTTGTGTCGTTTTACGTACCCGCCGGAAGTGCGTGCATTTAATCTTAAGTAAAATAGATAATCGGATGCTGAATTTGTGATTATTGTAAGTATCTTATAAATCCTAACTAAAACAACCATTAATAAGAACAGCGCATGTATTTGAATGAATTCTATTATTCATATTGCAAAAAAAGTTATATATAGTTATTTTTTCAACTACTCCTCCAACACATTGTCTAACCATTCCTGTATGTCATCTTTGTTTGCCGTAACATTTTCATTCCCTTTCAGTATTGTAACCGCATCATTCTCCGCGCCAGCCCCACTGCCGCTATTTATGTCTACTTTTGTAACAGCAGCTGTCGCTAAATTCAACAACTCATCCAATTCATCTGGAACATTAGTTTCACCTGGGGCCGCATTAACTTGTTTACCACTACTCTGTGACCGTCCGGAGCCACTTTTTCGGCTACCGCTATTAATTTTTATGCGTGGATTCGTCTTGTGTTCATGCAGTACATTTTGATAATTTTTCTCTGCCACTTCTGCAGCTTTCTCCATCGTTTGCAGTTGTTCGCGTGTAAACATAGATGCTGCATAATCCATGCGCTTATAAAATGGTATCGTTTGCAAACCAACATTTAATAATTTCAAATTTAGCGTGAAATACTGACTAGCCTCAGTGCTGTCCAACAATTGTTCGCCCTCCACTGTGTCCCAATTTTTTTCAGATGAGAACTGGAAGTGTCCACCCACAGATGTGGGTAATTGTGACATTAAACCAAAATCACCGGCATGCATTTGTGCCGACTCTGCCTCATTCATATCATTATCTTCGTCATCCAGCGAATATCGACGAGTTTGTGGCGGTGGACGTGAAGTAGCCCAACCACGTCTTGAAACAAAACGTTCATCACTGGAGTCCGCCACATCGACTACACCACGCACTATCTCCACCTGTGAGCTAGACGAGGTGTTATTATTCTGTTGTGTTGGCGGTTTCTTGCGATATTTTTTCATGTTGCCGCGTTTGCTGCAATTTAAGAAAACTTATTCAATTGATGACTTCACAGGCACTAAGCTGTAATTGCACTATACTCACTCTTTCGATCGATTGTCCTTGCTTTCCATATTATATTCTTATTTAGGTGGCTGTTCGGCTATTTGTTTATGTTGCTAAGGTGATCCGCCTGTTTAAAGTAGTAAAAGCATCCATTTGTATGCGCGGGGTATGTTCAATACATTGGTGGAACAGCTGCTTGCTAGTAATACACTCAAGCAGAAAAGTTAGTAGAGATATTTATTGTCAAAATGCTTATAAAAATATAGAAATATTGAAAAATAATTTCAAATTATTTTTGGAATTAGTTATTGTTTAAGATTATTATTACAAAAAGATATATATATTTATATTTTCGTATTTTTTGTACTAATGTAAGAATTTAATTACCCGTCTTCGGTTATATCAACACATGTTTTTTCTCTTTATGCAGACCTGAAAGTCTCAAATATATAAATACTTGTAGAAGGTTCAGGGTCACATATAATTTTTTAGACCCAACTGTCGTGGGAACGTCAAACCTGAGTGCAATAACTTCTTACTAATAATGTCAATTAGTTTGCACCTCAACCACAATCAAGATCTTCATCAACACTCTCATAAAGCAAAGCCATATGTATGTATGTATGTATGTATATTACATAATCAACATACATGTATAAGTTTACAAGTTGATAATCTTTTCATGTGCATGCATAATTAAAATGAATAAATAAATGGCAAAGAAATTCAGCAATTTTAGCTTGAAAAGTTCACTCAAGAAATTGGTACAGCAAAGTTGTTGCCACACGCAAAAACAGCAATCAAAAGTAATCCCCCCCAGATTCATATCTATAAACAATACACATGCATACACAAGCACAAGTACGTACGTAAATATATAAATATGTACAAATGTGCACCACCTTTACGGCAGTAAGTAGGAAATAAGTGAATGTTGTTGCTCGTTAGGCAGTTGCTGCTGCGCTTTTTAAATTGGCAAAAAACATACAAAATGCAAGGAAAAGGTATGCGCACTTAGCGCACACCAATTCATACAAATATGCGCGTAAATGTATGCAAAAATTTTGCACGCTATAAAACCTTGTGGAAAGAAAGCAGTCTTGCACTCACCTACAACCGAAAAAATCTGCAGAAAGTATGTAAACAGCGAAGTGTGCGAATAAGTGAACAAAATGGCAGTTGCAGCGGTAGCGTATAAAAAAATAATTGCAAAATATGAATTTATAATGAGATATTTATACAAATGCACAGCGACTTACATTTCTGCATGCATAAATATGCATACGTCGCTGCTCATAAACTTTGCCATAATTGTCCACACAATTTTTAGCGCGGCAAGCGGCTTGCAAGCACTTGCTTTCATAAGCAAGTGAAAAAGTTGTACAAGGACATTTCTTTGCATGAATTTAAGCAGATTTTTTTCTTGTGTATATGTTGCACATTTTAACGTTTGCACGCTACCCAGAAGCCTGCTGGCATCTAGATGATGATACAAAAAACAAAAAAAAAAAAAAAAAATTTAAGCGACATTAACATAATTGGAGATCGGTGTTATTGTTTGTTGCTCGTGATACAAATTTGGAGCATTAAATACCTGTCGTTCGATAATTATGTCGATATTGTAAAATTATAGCTTACAATCGAAAATTTGTATACCCTGAACTTGGGTATATTAAGTTTGCCACGAATTTTGTAAAAGCCAGCAGAAAATATGAGAGACTATGCATATATACATACATATGTATATGATCATCACATGCTGAGTTATTCAGCCATGTCCGTCTGTCTGTCTGCACATATGTACTATATGTACATACATATATGCGCGAACAAGTCCCAGAGTTTTTGAGGTATCGCACTGAAATTTTGCAGACGTTTTACTTTTCTTCAAGAAGTTAACATCATTTCTTGCTTTAACAATATTCATAGCAAGAAAGTAAAGTCGTGAGTGTAGCTCATCAGGCGAGTCGCCTTGCATTCGCAAGAAATGTGTTTATAGCCTTAATTGCAATTTACAAGAAAAATCGCTTGAGCGGTTTATTATAATTACTGGATAAAATAAAATTTAAGTGCATAGTTGCATTGCTCACTTCAGTAATTAACGACAAAGAACCGGCTGGAAAACTTTATTGCAATTTGTTTGCAAATTAAAAAGAAATATGTCAGATTTACACATACTTAYATACATATATACATACATATGTATGTATGTGAAGTTCCAGTTATATTGTATACACAAGTGACAGTAATTAAAATAGTGCAGTGAACCTACAGAAGAGTATACATATGTACATATATATTTTTGAATGCATTTCATTCTTATGTACATATGCACATTTTCTTCACATAAAATAATTACATTTTCCCATATTCATGTGATTCACACGCTCTTGTGCCTTGCTGCCTTTCAAATGTCTTATCTGCCAATTTAAGAGTGCACTTGTTATGCAATTAAAGCGATATTCACAAAAAAAGCAAACACAAATGTCAAACAGCTGTAATCAAAGTATTACCGCTATCTAGTGGCGTGATCTACCTTCACACACATACAACAAAACATCCGTAACTCAGCTCAGCTGAGTGACACAGCATTTTTGTTTACAAATAAGTGGTTGTCATTTGATAATTTTTTTTTTTTGTTGCTGCATTACACCCATCGCATCGTAGTGTGAAAGCATAGTAATTGCGCTTAAACAAACAATAAAGCTGATTAATAAAGCCAAAAATGCATGGTAACATAAGGGTGCATGAGCATATATCCGTTATTTATACGGTGGCGACAAGTGGCAAGTGACAAATGTGCTTGCGGCGGCAAGTGTCCTCTCATTAAATATATTTGCCAAATATTTTTAGTGTGCCAAACCACATCGCCGTATTTTTTACACTACCTCTGGCGTTCTACAACAACAGTAAACGCCAGGAAAGGCATTAAATTCATTGCAGGCTTGCTAATACAGTGGTAACTCCAATTTGAGGTGGTGACTTTTCATCAATTTGTACATCAATTCGCATTAAATTAAGCGTAAAATATACAAAAGCAGAGATTTGTTACAACAAGTGCCCTTTCATTAGCATAAGTATAGAAAATAAAAGCAACAATAAAGACACGAGTAATAATCGGTTTCCATGTATGCGCACACGGACTTCTTTCATGATTTCAAAGAACAAACTAACAAAAAACACACACACACACACACAACTACGAAAGTACAATATGTATTTGTTAAAATTACAACAAAAAACAAGAAGAAACGTTAACTTCAGTTGTGCCGAATTTCAATACCCTTTACAAATGAAAAGGTTACCTTACAAGAGCTTGATAATCAGTTTTGTTGATGTTGTTGTTGCAGCGGTAGAAAACATTCCTGAAGCAATTTCGAAGAATGATGCCGAACTGACAGTCCTTGGTCGGATAAAAATCCGGGTCCATTGCGTTTACTTCGACCCGATAGTCGTGGAAACGTGGGGTTTTAAGCGTTCAGCTTGTATGACAGCTATATGCTATAGTGGTTCGATATCGGCGGTTTCGACAAATGAGCAGCTTCCTTAGATGAAAAGAACGTATAAAAAATTTCATATCGTTATCTCGAAAATTGAAAGACTAGTGCACGTATACCAATTACAGACAGACTTACATATGTGTCTAAATCAATTCAGCTCGTCAAACTTAATAATTTCTGTTCAGGGTATAGCAAGCACGTGCAAATTAAACCCTTAATAGTTATGCTTCTGCTTATAATTCATGACCTATCGTGAGCAGTTGTTGTTGTTTTTTTTTACATAACGCTTTACAGCTTCATTGCCTTTTCCATGCTGTTGTATAATCATACATTTGTGTTTGCGCCTGCATTCAAGCGCTTTCAATCTACTTCCTACAAAAGAGGGCGTATGTTTAACGTATTGTCATCATGGGTGTGTTTAGCGACTGTGTTGTCATACTCTTTGACACTCACTACTCACCCCTGACCACTTGCGCATATTGCTTGCGATACTCTTGACTTTTGGTAAGCTCTCTAATTATCCGCGGCTTGTTTAAGTTTCACATACGAATTTTTTCAACAAAGCGATTAGTTGTTAACGATAAAGATAATCCTGCTAATTTATCATATTATATTTACAATGTAGGAAGGATCTTTGTATATCTGCTTGAGAACGTTGATACGAAAATATAACTAAAATAAATATATGTATAGTTTATCATTTTGAACTCTCAAATATGTAGTTGTTGTTAGATGCGTTATGGCCGACAATAGACCGATATTTTCCAAGTCAACAATCTTATGTTTACATTTAGCGAAGACAACAACCCCGAGATCAGTGAACTTTGGTTGAGATTAATGTCCTTTGATAGGGGTCAATTAGTCAAAAATCAACCTCTTGGTTACCTTTAGAAACACCAAGTTCAATAACCCTTTTGTTTACCTTTAACGAAGTCATAAACCTTTGCTTACGATTAGCGAATACACCAACCCCTAGGCTAAAGTAAACAAAAGCGACCACACGAACGGTATCGTAAACCATAAAGCGCATGAAGTCTTCACTTAATTGAGATATACATATTTTCGTTAAAAGAATTTCTTTACAAAATTGGCTGATCCTAAAAACTGACGGACTAATCACTTGACCTATCAATTAAACAGATCCCGGCCTGACACATAAAAGGCTCTACTAGAATTAAATTTATATGAGTTTTTGCTAGCCCTACCCTTGAAAAGGCGCATGTATAAATTTGACAGCTGTCGGATCATTAGTTGGTGGAGCGACTTTTGTTATTGTGAAAAAAAATGGAAAAAATTAATTTCGCGTGTTGAAAAGATATGGCTTTTTGAAGTGTAAAATACAGTGGAAGCAAAAACTTGGCTTGATGATGAGTTTCTGGACTCTACCGAGGAAAATGAATCATCAAGGATTGGTATCTAAGTTAAGACGGGGTGAAATAGGCACCGCAGACGGTGAACGCAGTGGACGGTCAAAAGAGGTAGTTGCCGACGTAAACATCAAAAAAGTCCATTTAATAATTTTGAATGGCCGAAAAGTGGAATCCAGATACCACTTAGCAGGCACTCTTAAGATATCAAGTGAACGTGTCCATCATATTTTTCAGGAATATTTTAACTAAAAATAACGTCG